GGCAATTAACTATATTAATTTCAAATCCTATCAAAGCATCACAAGCATTCCCCTAGACTACAAGATATCACAAAATCAGGCAACTCTATCATGCCTATCAACTAGCATGCATTTCTAATAGCTCATATGACATTAACTCAATTACAACATATAAAACAAGTATGAATATTCTGCAAAATAACTTTGCTCAAGCTCTGACTGCTTATACACATCTCATCTTCTCTTTCCTTCTTTAATATGTAATCCTTTCTAAGAAAAAGTTTATGAAAACTCTTAGATCCTTAGTTTGACTCTGGCTCTTAGAAAAGAAGTGGCCAAAAATTGTAGGGAGTGGATCAATTTTCGGCTATGGCTCTTAGAAAAGAAGTGGCCAAAAATTGTAGGTCAAGGGTGCCTTTTATAGTGTATCTTGGAAACCTTAGATAACCCTAATTTGAATAAAATAATATTAATTCAAATTGGTAATTATCCAGCTTCCTATTTATTTGCAAGGAATATTCCATATACCCTGGAATATCCTAGAAATCGTCCACCTCCTTCCAAGGTAGGTTCTGGACTTTTTCTTGTTCAACTATTGAACAATTGCACTTTAACCCTTGCACCTTTGATTAATACAATTAATCCCAAAATTAATTCTAATTAATTTCTGATTAATTATCAATTAAATATTACTATTTCTAATTAATATATTATTTTCATAACATATTAATAAATTCATTTATTGCTATTTATTAATCATATAATAAATAAATAAATCAGTGTCTCTCTCTAAAAGTTATCCTATTCAATTACTAGGTTTGAGGGCAACCCAAAATGACTTTAGTAATAATTCAAGCTTATACTAATTCAATTATTGGCTTAGACACCTAATCCAACAGTATCCCACTTGGATAAGTCTATAACTGCAATTACGAGTATAACTTTTATATTAAACAACAAAGAGTGCTTCCAAAGCAACTACCGAACTCTAAACTAAACAGACGTTGGTCCTAAGATAAGTGATCAGATATTCCTCCGTTCTTCCAGATATCGTAGGGACATGAGACATGGATTAGAATCAATCACATTGTCCAATTTTTGTTTCACGATTTCCCGATTTATGATGACGACATAAGACTTCAAATTGAACACATCAATTGAGTCCTAGCTAGACCCAACACTATAAGTCCATCACTATAAGTCAACACCAAATCGCCTAGGGGCCCAAAGATATCGCTTTTCCCTTTAGGGCAAAAGAAACGAATAAACTTTGACTTATATGCTTGTACCCTTTACTCATCAAATCATACATGACATTGCATTTTATAACATCATGTTACTGATGTGTTTACGCAACACCAATGCACAACCGACTTGTAAATTACAACTCATATATCTCCGTTTCAAGAATATAAGATATTATCGTCTCAGAATTACTCGTGATATAACCCATGAAGTAATTCTTTGAGCGTCAGTTTATCCAATACTTAAATATCCATTTCTAAGTACTCATGAATGTTGTAGCCACTACTAGAAAATAGCCCTTTGATGACACGCAAACCATGACACGCATGGATTTACGATACGCAAACGTGTGTGTCCTAAAAATAACGTCAGCTTCCCCAAAATTTGAAGGCGTTAGGACACACATTTTTGCGTGCCCTAAACTCAGTGTCACAATAACAACAAAAAAAACACGGATGGCGCCTTTCATTAAGCGCGTGTCGTCTAAGGATGTCGCTTTATAATTTTTTTCACAACGCACGTCTATTCTCCTTATAAGCAACTAGGTCTTTTTTTCATAATTCCATTCCACACAAAATCGTAAACATGTCCACCGAAGAAGAATGACGAGCACTCACCTCCCATGATTTATCCAGAATCACTTAAGGTTTTTGGCAGTAAACGAAATTGACCCTCCTACTCCTTTGTCTGAAAGAGTTCGAAGTCAAAGATTTTGGAATTTCGAAAAGTCAACCAATCGTCATCAGATGACGACGTGTTCGTTCCTCATGATGCTGAACTATACGTATCTGAGGGCACTTCGAGGTGTTCATCAGAATACTCTCTGCCATTCTAGGGTTTTATTTCTATTTGAAATTCTACAAGATAATTTGCTTTACAAGGTTTTGATTTTTTTTCAAATCTCTGATTTGTAGAGTGTATGGTTTATCGTTTCTTATTCAAACAATTTTGTACTTCAATTTTGCTCTAACAACATCAGCTATGTGGTTTCTCCTTTTCTCCCACTCCCATAATATGTCTAAACAATTTTGTAGTTTGATTTTGTTTTGGTAATCAGGTGAAGTACATCCCATAATTAATGAAATTTTTTGTAAAGAAAAGTTAATTTGTTCTAAACCCCTGAATGGAATCATAATTAGGCAACTCTACTTAATAAATAGGTATAACTTGTCCAATTGCTAGCTACATTTTCATTTGTTTTATTAGTGTCTTAGTGAAATACTTATATGTAGATTTTGTATATGATATGTACATGTTTCATTTTATATCTTTTGACCCCCCCCCCCCCCCCCAATCCAAAAAATAGATCTGTTCTTCTATATTAAATATTCAAACCTAGTAATTTTAAAATTGATTATGACTTTTCTAAGTTTCATTTCCAAATTTTCTTATTCTAATAGTGCTTATATGGTTGAATGAGATTATCATTTTTTTCCAACACAAGAAGCAAATATTTGTCAAATTCAGTACAAGACTCATTTGTCTATTAAAAGTTAAATGCAGGCTCTTTTTATGTGGGTTGAAAGTTGTAAATATTTGAATTTGAAAAGGATGGATCAATAGGTGGAGCAAAACTGCTTATAATATGTCATTCATGTCATCTTTCACAATTTCTGTTATTTTCTTTAATGATTCAATTCATTTGCCTGATTTCAAACTAACTTTTATATTGTTTTGTGATTCTTTAATTTGGATTCATATTTAACTACAGTAGTTGGGATTTCTTTTTGATTAAATGATTAGATCATAATTCTTATACCAATTTACATGTATGATGATGAATATTATTTTCAGTTCTCTATTGATGTATTCATTACTACTCAAATTTATGTTGACATTGATTTATTAGTGTCTTAGTGAAATACTTATATGTAGATTTTGTATATGATATGTACATGTTTCATTTTATATCTTTTGACCCCCCCCCCCCCCCAATCCAAAAAATAGATATGTTCTTCTATATTAAATATTCAAACCTAGTAATTTTAAAATTGATTATGACTCTTTTAAGTTTCATTTCCAAATTTTCTTATTCTAATAGTGCTTATATGGTTGAATGAGATTATCTTTTTTTTCCAACACAAGAAGCAAATATTTGTCAAATTCAGTACAAGACTCATTTGTCTATTAAAAGTTGAATGCAGGCTCTTTTTATGTGGATTGAAAGTTGTAAATATTTGAATTTGAAAAGGATGGATCAATAGGTGGAGCAAAACTGCTTATAATATGCCATTCATGTCATCTTTCACAATTTCTGTTATTTTCTTTAATGATTCAATTCATTTGCCTGATTTCAAACTAACTTTTATACTGTTTTGTGATTCTTTAATTTGGATTCAGATTTAACTGCAGTAGTTGGGATTTCTTTTTGATTAAATGATTAGATCATAATTCTTATACCAATTTACATGTATGATGATGAATATTATTTTCGGTTCTCTACTGATGTATTCATTACTACTCAAATTTATGTTGACATTGATTTAATCTCTGTTATCCCAAAGACAACAGGAGGCCAGATAGTCAATCAATCATCAAAGACTTTGTGTCACTGTTCTTGATGTTTTTAAAATTTTATATTTATATATTTCATGCCATTTTCCAGTTATATTATTATCATCCATTTTTCTGCTCTTTCTAATCCTGCAAAACTCTACAATGATCTTTGATGGAATGTCACAAGGCCAAAGGTTTTGAAGCTGTGATGCATGTTAGATGCAGTCAGGTAAGAGGTTAACCTTACTAGAGGGCATTTACGTCTTTTTGCTTTGTGTATTTATTTATTTGTTTTATTTTCTGTAGGGACTTTAAGTACAAGAATACTCAGTAAACTTCTATAAATGTATTCCTACAGATGTTGACTTACCTGCGGTTTTATACTAATCTCTAAACATAAACCTACATACATATATTATATAAATGTTTTTCATTTTTGTTAAATTTGTAATTGAAAAATGTTATTTTTCAGGTTGATTGTGACAAATATGTAATGGTAACTTTTGAAAAATGATGACAAATTAACTGATGGCACAAAATGTTCTTTCCAGGTATATAATTTATGTCTTTCTCATAAAAAACCACTATATTTGTGTATACTGTTCAAATTATAATGTCGTGAATTAATGTACATTGCTATTTATCTAATGTGAACTTCTTTATACTACTGTATATCGGTAAATAAGAATACGTGTGTCCACCTTATCATTACCATGCACCACCATGCTACACGAAAGAAGTTACAAAATTTTCATCCGATTTAAAGATATGGTAGAATCACACAATTACCAAACCCTTATACTATTAAACTATACATATAATGCTCAAACATTCGATTAATAGATAACATATTTCATCTGGTGTCTGTTAGGTTTATTCGTACAGTAAGGTACTACCACAGCTATCTAAGGATTATCATACCATAGCATGCGACTGGTTGGATGTAGTATTACATCTTATTTTGCTAAAATTACTTATTTTCCCTTAGCCTTGATGTTATATTTTTTGTTTTTACAGGCTTTGGATATTTAGATAAGCCTTAACCCAAATACGGATATTTAGATAGGCCTTGATGTTATCTTTTTTGTTGTTACAGACTTTGGTGCCAAACTGTTGAAAATTCTTGCGTCTTCCCCTCAAGTTATAGTCGGATGCTATTTTAATTAGTATTAGACACTCTTAGCTTGTATTTCATTCATACATATTTGTTAAGGGTTGTTTGTGTAACTTTATATTCTATTTATTCTTTGCCTCTCTGCCTTTTTGGGTATTCGAGAGTTCTGCAACTCATTCTCTCTCTCATGGTATCAATTGCCTAAACTGATCCTCTTCTCCTATCGTCTCTTCCTTTCTCTTCTCCATGGCGAGTTCATCTTCCTCTGATTCTCTCCTCTCCATCAGCAGTCGTACACCTCACTGCCAACTCTGTCGTACCAACGGCCACTATGTTAATGCGTGTCCTCAGCTTGCTCGATTTGCTTCCACTGTTCATGGACCTCCCATCCCTAACCCAGAAGCTGATCTTACCAGAGCCTTTCATGCTCAATGCCACGTGACATCATACGGCCCCGATTGGTATGTCGACTCGGGTACATCTGACCACATGTCCTCTTCGGCAGCCTCTGTCCCCAATCCGGCTCCCTTTACAGGTCCTCAAAAGGTGTTTTTTGGAAACGGTATGACTCTCCCTATTTCACACATTGGGCACACATCTTTGAACAATAACATCCACCTTCGAGATGTGTTAATTGTTCCCAAGTTGTCTAAAAACCTTTTATCTGTCAGTAAACTAACATCTGACAACTCTTTTGATGTTTTGTTTTCTCATCCTAATTTCTACATTCAGGACAGAAAGACGAAGCAGGTTTTAGCACAGGGTCGATGTAATCAGGGTCTCTATGTGGTCTCTACAAATCCTCATGCTCTTTTTGCCTCCACCAGTTGCGCGTTAAAAGACTCTTTTGAACTTTGGCATGCCCGTTTAGGACATGTGACACTATATATCTTTTGAATAAAATGGGCCACTTGTCGGTTACCTCTGTTTTACCTAGACCTTCTTTGTGCTCGTCTTGTCAGATGGCTAAAGCACATCGGTTACCCTTTGTACACAATGAGAAACGTTCTATAAAATTTTTAGATCTTATTCATTGTGATTTGTGGGGACCTTCTCCTGTATGCTCTGTTGATTCTTATCGTTATTATGTATCATTTGTGGATGACTATTCACGGTTTACATGGTTTTATCCGCTCAAAACCAAATCTGGTTTCTCTATTGTCTTGGATGTATTTCTAAAATTTGTGCAAACTCAATTTAACACCAAAGTTAAAGTGTTCCAAAGTGACGGGGGCACTGAATTTCTCAATCAAACTGTACGATCTTTACTTGAGACTAATGGCACTTTTCACCGTATTTCATGCCCCTACACCCCGCAACAAAACGGGCGAGTCGAACGCAAACATCTACATATAGTTGAAACGGGTCTTGTTATGTTTTTTAATGGCCACATCTCTCCTGGTTACTGGGTTCATGCTTTCAGCTCCGCCGTCTACATTATCAACCAGCTCCCTTCTTCTATTTTGGGAAATCGTTCCCCATTTGAGCTCCTCTTCGACACCCTGCCATCCTATGCTGACTTTCTTCCTTTTGGGTGTCGGGTCTATCCATACTTGCGTGACTATGCGGATCACAAGCTATCTCCACGAAGTCTTCCCTATGTATTCCTCGGGTATTGCTCTCAATACAAGGGTTTTCAATGTCTAGAGCCATCCACCTCGCGCATCTTTATTACCCGACATGCCCGGTTCGATGAAGGCATTTTTTCCTCACGTGGTGAGGCTTCTCAGACTCCCGCTCATAGGCTTGCTCTATCACAACTTATGGATGTTGCTTATGAGGCAACTTCTCTATAGCTACCTTCGACATTCCCTGTGTCTGCTCCAGCGCCATCACCTACCATGCCCCCATAGGATCCTACTGACGATGCTCCTGGACCGTCTGCTTCTTCTACTCCTGAACCCACAGATACTGTCATCCATGATGATCACGACCATGTGTCTGAGCCGGATGAATCGGAGCCCGCTGAGCCCGCACCGAAGCCAGCTTCGCCTGTTCTGCCCACTTCATCTCCTCAATGGCCTCCTCCTCCGTCTCACCCGATGATCACCCGTAGTAAAGCTGGTATCTTTAAACCTCGATATCGGGTTGATCTTGCCAGCTCTTCCTCACATGGCCTCACAGCGGCTCTGTATGCCTCCACTGAACCAAAATGTTTTAAAACTGCTTCCCGTTACCCTCATTGGATGTGTGCCATTGACCAAGAGATGGAGGCTCTTCGTCGTAATAACAATTTCACCTTGGTCCCCCGCCCCTCCGATCAAAATGTTATCGGCTGCAAATGGATTTACCAAACCAAATACCTTGCCGACGGTTCTGTTGATCGTCACAAAGCCCGTCTAGTTGCTCAGGGTTTTTCGCAAGTTCCGGGTTTGGACTTTTCTCATACTTTTATTCCAGTGGTTAAGGCCTCCACCGTTCGTACTGTTCTATCCATTGTTGTTGCCAACAAGTGAAATCTTCACCAGCTTGATGTTAACAATGCTTTCCTCAACGGGAACTTATCTGAACGTGTCTATATGGAACAACCACCAGGTTTCCAAAACCCCAACTTTCCCAACCATGTATGCCGTCTAAACAAAGCCCTTTACGTCCTCAAGCAGGCGCCCCGTGCGTGGTTCCATCGTCTTAGTGCGTTCATGGTTGCCAATGGTTTTGTCTACAGTCAACCTAATCCCTCTCTCTTTGTGTTTAAACGAGACACGTGTTTTATGTTTTTGTTAGTCTACGTTGATGACTTAATTCTTACAGGTAATAAAGCCCCGGTCATCCAGTCCTTCATCTCAAAGTTACATGTTCAGTTTGCTATTAAAGACCTGGGGCGACTCAACTACTTTCTTGGTCTCGAGGTGACTTACACATCTGATGGTTTATTCCTAAGCCAGTCTAAATATGCAAACGAAATTCTCACCCGCGCAAACATGGTTGATGCTAAACCGGTCCCCACACCGCTTGCAGTGAATACAGCATTTGTTACAAGTGGTGACCCGTTTGATGACCCTACCACTTACCGATCACTTGTAGGGGCTTTGCAGTATTTGACGATCACTCGGCCTGATATTTCGTATGCGGTTAATCAGGTCAGCTAGTTTCTTCAAGCTCTGTCTATCTCCCACTTTCAGAGTGTCAAGAGGATTCTTCGATATGTAAAGGGCACCGTCTCCTACGGTCTCACCTACTCTCACCGCAAACCACCATCCACTCTTCTTGGATACTCTGATGCTGACTGGGCCAGATGTCTTGAGACTCGCCGGTCCACGTATGGTTACTCCATTTTCTTGGGTGGAAATCTTGTTTCCTAGAGTGCTAAGAAGTAGCCGACCGTCTCCCGCTCCAGTTGTGAGTCCGAGTATCGGGCCATGGCCAATACCGCGGCTGAACTCATTTGGATTACTCACCTTCTTCAAGAGCTTCATGCTCTTCCAGCCGTCTGCCCGACTCTCCTTTGTGACAACAAGAGCGCGTTATTTCTTTCTCAGAATCCGGTCCCTCACAAGCGTGCTAAACATATTGAATTAGATTATCATTTCATTCGTGAACTTGTATCCTCTGGGAAACTTCACACAAAATTTGTATCTACCAAGCTTCAAGTGGCGGACATCTTCACCAAGAGTCTGCCACATCACCAGTTTGAATTTTTTCGTAGCTTGCTCACCATTGGTCCGCCATCGTTCTGCTTGAAGGGGGATATTAGACACTCTTATATTGTATTTCATTCATACATATTTGTTAAGGGTTGTTTGTGTAACTTTATATTCTATTTATTCTTTTCCTCTTTGCCTTTTTGGGTATTCGAGAGTTCTGCAACTCATTCTCTCTCAATTAGTATATATAGATGTAATCGTTGTCCTTTTAATGTGTTAAGAACCAAGTATTATTCAGTTAAGTTACCTTTGGCACCAAGCAATATTGTTCCTCTGTTTTTTCCTTGTTTCTGTTGTTCTAGTCCCTCTTTTCTTCTCCCCTATTTCTTCTATTTTTCCTTGGTGAACAAGGTACAAGTACAACTACGAATATCACTAAGTACATATTCAACAGAAGTACTGCTACTACAATCAAGAATCTTTTTATAGAGGCTGAAAAGAGTCATAAAAATCTTGAAACTCCTTATAAACTCATTATTGAAGAATAGTTATTAATAAGCGAGGGTAAACTTCATCGCCTCTAGTACATACAGTAGCAGGTAGGTGTGTGCTTCTTTCTCTTTAATTTTGTTGGTCTTTGTCAAATACCAATTTCATTCTAGTTAAACAACATATGTCTTGCTTTTTCAACATGTTTGTAGTTTATATGAATATGAAGTGTTTGATGAAATGCCTAAAAAAACCACTAGCTGATAAAAGTATTTTTCAAGTTTTCAGAGAAGAACAAAACGGAGAATAGTCAAGAAAAAGGCTGAAAGAATATGAGGGAAATGGTGCAAGGATAACTTCATTAATAGTCGTTCCTTAAATCGTGCTCGTGACATTTACAAGTAACCTAATTCTCTTCTCTACCTTTTTTGTTTCTTCCAAAAATACCCCTTATGTATAATATATGTTTGGTGGTTTGGTTTGGTTGCAGTCAAATCAAGGAAAACATAGAACAGATGGGGCTTAAGATTAGTTCATGTGGAGATGACATGGTTCCACTTTGCAGATGTCTTGTTGATTCTTATTTCCGGAATGCAGCCCTGCAACAACCTGAGGGAACGTACAAGTATTGTCTATTTATTATTTAATATAATCATTTTTTATAACTTTAATTTTACTAGAAATGAAACAAGTAATAATAATAATGAAGCCATGACAATTTAAAAAGTTACCTCGTTTATTTTCTCCTTCAATTTGTGTTCTATCATTTTTCTTATCCTTGTTTTGTATTTGAACTTATTTCACTTGGCTATTCCGATACAAAAATTTGAAGCAATGGCATTTTGGTCTTTTTTGGATTTTTCAAAGATGACAAGCTTGGTTTTATTTGCTGGAAACATAAAGATTATGGCTGGTTCGAGATGTTGAGGATTACATTCTATGGAATAAAGTTAATATCTAACGGGATTACCTGGTGCGAAGTTGATTTCAGTCAAGGGTATTTTTTATTTTTCAGTATTTAATTAGGAAGCTATGTTTTTTTCATGATTGCATCCGGAATAAAAACATCTTGTTTATATGTGATGTTTTTCATAACTTGAGGACTAATTTGGATGATTCGAATAGTCTGCTCAAAAGTTGGATACGACCCCTGTAAACCCTTGCACTTGAAAATAGTGTCATTCGAGTGTAAGTTTTTATCCCTTTTATTTAAACCCATTTCACAATAATATATTTTATTATTATTATATAGATTCATGTAATCTCTTTACACCATGAAATTTTCAGTGATCTGGGAAATGCAGTTCTATCCGGCACATTGGTCCCACAAATTGGTCTCTTAAAGAATTTTCAATACTTGTAAGTCATTTTTTCTAAACTAATACTTCTACTTACATTCTTTTTGGTTCTTTCCACGAATTTATATTTACATTTACCACTTTTCATGATGTGTCTTGATTGTTTTCTACAAGGAACTATACAAAAATAGCATAAGCGGCCCAATTCCAAATGATCTTGGAAATTTGACAAATTTAGTGAGATTATACTTTTACCTTGATAGTTTTTCAGGGTCAATTCATGTCACATTGTGCAAGTGCAGGAAATAGCAATGTACTTTGCTATTTCTTGCCAAATAAGTTGTTACTTCATGCATTTAGGCCTTTTTGGTTAAAATGCAAGAAATAATAGCATACTTAATTGATTTGACTTGAAAAAAACATAATTTACTTTTTTTAACTACATAAATCATTTTATGTCCCCAAGTGCAGGAAACTTGTAGAAAAGGAGTCGACACTGGTTGAGTTGATGCATCTACAAGTGGTGAAGATTCAAGGCTTAAAGCTGCCATGGAGATTGCCAAAGGAGAACTTACTCACAGGTTCTTTTTAATGTTGTACATGTTATGTTTTTCTATAATAAATATTATGCAATATTAGCAATGTATTACATTTACTTACTATGGGAATGATTATTTGTATTTGACATATTAGTGCAATGAATTATCTTTCTTGTTTATGGTATTTTATTTGTATTATGATACTTTAAATGTGTTATTTAATTTGAAAATTAATAATCTATCAAAATATATAATTTTTAAAACATTTAAAATTATGACACGCAAAAATGTGTGTCGTCTTTCTTTATGACATGCGCTTTAATGAAACGCAATGCTAGTCATAAATGTGCGTCGTAAGGTTACAACACGCAAATTCGTGTCGTTTTCCTTTATGACAGGGCCTTCCTTGACATGCATTGGCGTGTCATCTGTGGCTATTACGACACGCAATGCGTGTCATTAAAGGGTATTTTTGTAGTATTGAGCAATAGAATTGCTATGTCTAACTCCCTTAGACAATCTACAATTCAATTCATGACAGTCTTAATTCACTATTTACTTCCCAAAGTATGCGCAACTATGGAATTTGAATAAGTAAATTATTCGGGAAGTAAAACATGTTAAACGAAACACAAGAATAAATAATTGACAAAAGCAGTAAACAAACTCATAAATAATCTCTATTATTTAATCACCAAAAGTCAATTACATTTATTTTGTTACAAGTTTCAAACTAATCATATAACTACTAAAACTAATGTCATCTCTCAACCCAATTCTCCTAGCATGTTGTCTATGCTTAATCCTACTCAGAGCCTTTATGAGAGGATCTGCAGGATTCTCTTCTGACGATAGTCTTTTCACTATGAGATGACATTCTTCAACTCTATGTCTAATATAATGGTACTTTTTTTATATGTCTTGACTTGCCATGATCTCTCGGCTCTTTGGTCAAAGCAACCACTCCTTCATTGTTGCAGAAAAGTTCCATTGGTTCCTAAATCGTTGGGAAAACTCCAAGATTTCCAATGAAGTTCTTCAACCATGTTGCTTCCTTTGATGCTTCACTTGCCGCTATGTACTCTAAGTCACAGGTAGAATCAGCCACTGTGTCTTTCTTATAACTTTTACAAGTAATTGCTCCTCCATTTAATGTAAATACCTAGCCATATTGAGAACAAAAGTTGTCTCTATCTTTGTCCTCTGCAGATACTTGAGAATGTTCTTTACTGGTGTCCAATGAGCTCTGTCAGGATTTCCCTGATAGTAACTGACCATGCTTAAAGCAAATGACACATTAGGGCAAGTAAATATCATAGCGTACATGATCGATCCTTTAGCCGAAGCATAAGGTCTCGACTTATATCAACTATTTCTTCATCCGTACTTGGGCTTTGATTCTTACTCAATTTGACATTGCTATGAATAGGTAGCTCTCCTTTCTAGTAACTTTCTATACTAAATCGTTTTAGTACCATGTCCAAGTATGTACTTTGACTAAGTCCAATTAGTCTATTCTTTCTATCTCTCAAAACTCTTATCTCGAGAATATAGGCAGCCTCTCTTAGATCCTTCATAGCAAAACACTTTCCAAGCCAAGATTTCACTTCTTGCAAGGTTGGAATGTCATTTCCTATGAGTAGTATGTCATCAACATACAATACTAGAAAAGTTACTATACTCACACTATTCTTGACATACACACAAGACTCATCCTCACTCCTAGAAAAACCAAATTCTTTGACTTTTTCATTGAAGCAAAGATTCTAGCTGCGAGATGCTTGTTTCAATACATAGATTGATTTCTCAAGCTTGCAACTCTATTGGGAAACTTTGCATCAACAAAACCCTCTAGTTGACTCATGTAAACATCTTCAAACAACTTCCCATTAAGGAAAGCAGTTTTGACATCCTTCTGTCAAATTTCATAATCATGAAAGGTAGCTATGGCGAGCATTATCCTAATAGATTTTATATTAGCCACCGTTGAGAAGGTATCATCATAGTCAACCCCTTGGTTTTGAGTAAAGACCTTTGTAACCAGTCGTGCCTTGAAGGTATGCACATTTCCATCCATGTCAGTCTTCTTCTTGAAGATCCATTTGCAACCAACTGACTTTCGAACAGGTTGTTGATCAACCAAATTCCAAACTTCGTTGTCATACATGGACTTAATCTCTCTCTCCATTGCCTCTTTCCACTTGGTTGCCTCAAGGCCTGCCATTGCTTCCTTGTAGTTTGTTGGCTCATCGAAATTTATCAGTGTTTGATCACTGATAAATGTATCACCATCTAAAGTTATATGGAAACCATAGAATTCAACTGGCATGCTAACTCTACAGGAACGACGAATAGGTAATGAATTGTCAACTGGCTCAACTGGAATTTCTTCCTCTGGTTAAGTGCTAGTATCTTCTAAGGTTCCTTCATTGGTTGACTCTTAAATTTCTTCAATGTCAATTGTGCTCCCACTGTCCTCTTTTCATATGAGTTCTCTCTCGCGAAAGACTCATCTTCGTGCTACAAAGACCATGTTTTCACTAGGCCTGTAGAACAAGTATCCAAAGGACTTTTGTTGGTTGCCAATGAAAATGCATCTCTTACTTCTAGCTTCCAGCTTGTCATGAGTCTCTCATCTAACGAAAGCTTCACAACCCCATACTTTGATATGTGCCAATGAGGGAACTTTCTCTGTCCACATATCGTGAGGTGTTTTGGCAACCTTTTTAGTATGGAAAAGATTGAAAATATGGGTAGCTATCTCTAAGGAATACTCCCAGAAGTAAATGGTAATAGTGGCTCGACTCATCATGGAACGAACCATATCTAATAAGGTTCGATTGCGCCTCTCAGCCACACCATTAAGTTGTAGTGTCCTTGGAGGAGTCAATTGTGAAACTATTCCACATTCCATGAGGTAGTCGTGGAACTCGATACTAAGATACTCTCCTCCTCTATCATATCAAAGCATCTTTATCTTCATGCCTAATTGATTCTCGACTTCATGTTTAAACTCTTTGAACTTTTGAAAGGTTTATGATTTATGTTTCGTCAAAGAGATGCAACCATATCTACTATAATCATATGTAAACATTACATAATATTGATTAGCATCTCTTATGCTAGATCTGAAGGGTTCACACACATCTATGTGTATGAGGTCCAAAAAACCTTCACCTCTTTCACAAAATCTAGTGAAAGGTGATTTTGTCATCTTTCCCATAAGACAAGATTTTCATTCATCATTTGGCCTTAGGTCAAATGATTCCAAGACTCCATCCTTTTAGAGTTGGCCGACGCATTTCTTGTTAATGTGCCCAAGACGATAATGCCAAAAACATGTCTCGTCAAAACCATTAGACGAATCAATGTGAAATACACTTTTTCCTAAGCTATCAACACAAGTCACAGTTTCATACACACCATTACAAGGTAAAGCTTCAAATATAAAAACACCATTTTTATAAAACATAATTGAACCATTCAAATCATTAAAAGAATAGCGAAAACCTTGTCTAAACAATGCATGAAATGAAATAATGTTTCGTGTCATTTCTGATGAATAACAACAATTAATTAAACTAATCCTAACATCACTACTAAGCACAAGCTGATAGGTCCCGATCTTGGTCATAGGAGAAGATCACCTATTGGCCATGATCAGATTCATCTTCCCATGTTCAACCTCCTCACTTTCTTTTAGCCCCTACAAATCAGAACAAAATTGAAAACCACATCCTGTATCAAGTACCCAAGAATGAGTAGATGGTGAGTTATTAGTTTGAATAGTGTATATACATGCTGACGATGGCTTCACATTTCCATCCTTGATGTCTTGCAAGTATTTGGGGCAACTCCTCTTCCAATGGCCCTTGTCATTGCAATAGTAAAAAGTGGCCTCTTTGGGGCCACTAACAGCTGGAATGTTTGAGTTGGACTTCTCCTTTGGCTCATTTCTTGATGATCCTACATGGGCCTTGTTCTTTCATTTAGCTTTAGGAGCAACCTTCCTTTTCTTCTCGTTGCCTTTATCAATGGCGAGAACAGGAGAATTAGTAGGAGGGGCCAAATTCTTCCCCTTTAATCCTAACTCAGCAGCCTGTAGCAAGTTGTAGAGTTGGGCTAATGTGGTTTTTGTGTTTTTCAAATGATAAGCTAATATAAACTGATCATAACAACTTGGCAAGGAGTTTAAGACCATGTCAATGTCCAACTCCTCGTCAAAATACACATTGAGCTTAACCAGACGCTCCACGTATCTTTGCATTCTCTGCACGTGGTTCCAGACAGACTCTCCCTCTTTTATCTTGCACAGCATGAGGGACTTGACCACTTCAAAATTCTCTTAACGAGCTCTCTTGTGGTACTTCTCCATAAGGTCATTGTTCACTTCACATGGTCAGTAGTCCTCATAGAACCTCTACAATTCAGGAGTCATTGTGGCGACCATGATGCAAGCAACTTTTGTTGCATCATCGTAGTGTTTTCTGTAAGAGGCTAGTTGCTCAGGAGTAGCAGTGTTTTCATCGACTTCAACGAGTTTTTCTTCAAGGACATATTCTTTAATCTCGAATCGAAGATATATTCTAATGTTGTACATCCAATCAATGTAGTTTGAGCCATCAAAGTTTACTTTGTACATGATGGAGATAAGGGAGAAACTCGAGTGGTGGGTAGAAGATGATGGAGCAGAAGCATCAACATGAGTAGACATCTATAGAGAAAAAGAATAGTTTTAGTTAGATGACAATTATCCTTAATATTTTAACCCATAATAAATGATTAAGACTAGGATCCAAAATAACAATTCACAACTAAGAAGACGGATGTCGTAATCTTATTGCAAATTTATGAAGGTAGGTAAAAGCAATTCACCAATTTCGAACTATGAAATTCCAAGATCTTTTGAGATTCATTGAATCTATCAATGACATGTTTAATCTCAGATTATGCTCTACTATTTGTGAGTGGGATACCGAGGATCACAAACTAGATGTGAATAACCATACAAATGTGCTTGGCACTCTCGATGTCATTTATCATCTCATTGTAATGTGTCAGTTAACCACACGCACTCCATTAATCAATGATAATTTTCGAGATGCCCATTATTACTCTTTATAGTCACTATTAGTGTGCTGGTTAACCACATACGCTCCACTAACTACTATAAAGTATAATGTACAAATTTATGGATTAACATATTTTTCACATTTTCCTAAACTGAATAAGAGCGGGAATTTATAAAACAGTTTAGTTACTTTTTACGTCATTATACTTCTTAATGAAGTTAATGTCCTATCAGATCCATTCTGCTAACGACCCTCGACCAAACAAGGAAACGATGGGTAAGAGTGGACACCCATTTAACCACCATTTTATAGGCAGTTTCCTTATACCCCCTTATAGTTCGGCTTCGTGAATGAGGCATACTAGCGATCCGACTGACTTAATCTTATACATATAGTAATTAACTTTTAATATATTATATATAAGGTGTATTTTAAAAACTTTTCAAAATACTAGGTTTAAATTAAATTTTTGAAATTAATTTAATTTAAAATAAACCAATTATGTTTTTAATCTTTATCTTTTAATTCATCAAATAATTAAATATAATTAAAACATAAGGATTATTCACAAATTCAAGATAAGGATATCTGATTACCAACATAATTATTCAGTTTTATATACAATTAAAAACATTATCTAAAGTAATTATCCTAATCAATTTATGATTTAAGCAAAAAAACGATTTTAGCTGATCTGAGGGTCCACCACATCATGGCAGACAATTGCCACGTCGTGGTTCAACAGAAAAAGACGCGGCTTTGAATATCACCATGTTGTGGCTGAAGAACACCATGTCGTGGTGACGCAACAAAATAACGATTCTACTTTTCTCCTTCGGGTTTTGTTCAAGTTCAAGCAATGTACATTCAACTGTTAGACAACCATACGCTCTGAAACCACTGATGGGTTTTACATGTATTAATGCGGATAAATCCTTAACACTTAATGGTACATGCAACCTAAAGATCTAAGTCATAACACTATTGATGTAACATTCTATTGAACAACACAAACCCTAGGAACACCGTAGATATTTCAAAAAATCAAAATAAAGGTTAGGGTTTACATACCTTATTGATTCTTGTAGTAAACAATCAAGAATTATTTCTTCAATAACTTGGAAGCTAGCACCACAAGTGTCGTGCCTCTCATGGTTCACACCCAATACTAGCAACAAGAAGCTTTTGAGAGAGGAGAGAGAGGATCAATTTTCGGCTATGGCTCTTAGAAAAGAAGTGGTCGAAAATTATAGATCAAGGGTGCCTTTAGTAGTGCAACTTGGAACCCTAGATAACCCTAATTTGAATAAAAATAATATTAATTCAAATTGGTAATTATCCAACTTCCTATTAATTTGCAAGGAATATTCCAAATACTCTGGAATATCCTAGAAATCGTCCACCTCCTTCCAAGGAAGGTTCTGGACTCTTTCTTGTTCAACTATTGAACAATTGCACTTTAACCCTTGCATTTTTTATTAATACAATTAATCCCAAAATTAATTATAATTAATTATCAATTAAATATTACTATTTCTAATTAATCTATAATTTTCCTAACATATTAATAAATTTATTTCTTGCTATTTATTACTCATATAATAAATCAATAAATCAGCCTCTCTCTCTCTCTAAAAGTCATCTTATTCAATTACTAGGTTTGAGTGCAACCCAAAAGGACTTTGCTAATAATTCAAGATTATACTAATTCAGTTATTGGCTTAGACACCTAATCCAACAACGATGACATAAGTAATATAATGAGAAGACTCACCTCGCGAATAATAGACTAACACATTAGCTCTCATACAGAAAAGACAGATACTAAGAAACACAACTATTCATAAATATAAAAGTACCCTCTTAGTCTACTCTCAAGTTGACCAAAAGTCAACACGATCAAAGTAAACCCTACCTGACCTTCCATTTCCTGGCACCCATAGGCCACGTCGTGGCAGCTACACGAAAAAACAGTCATGGTGACACCATTCTCCATGTCGTGGGAAGCAGACTGCCACACCATGGGAAATGTACTCGTACAACTTAATGGATTAAGCTCTTAACCCTTAAGCCTATGAACCACAAATCTATAATTTGAACCTTCTCAAGGTCTATATGGATCAAGTTTCTAACTTTATCCATAGAGATTTTATACCTCCAAAGTCCATAAATGTGTTGAATATGCAAGATCTAAGCTGGAACCAAGCACATAAGCACCAAAATGGACTCCTTCTTCCTTTAATCTTCACAAAACTTGCTTCAGACATACAAAATACACATATAGAGGCTTAGGTATGGATGGGATAGGATCTCAGAGGGTGGAGACTACCAAATATGGAAAACCATAGGAGTTAGTGCCTTTAAATAAGGTACAAACCTGAACATCTAGAGTTTGTACCAAAATAGCCGCCACACCATAGCCAAAAACCTTACCACATCGTGGCATCCACTGCGAATGTGCATCTTATTTCGACGCTGCCATGCCTTGGAACCCAGTGCACCATGATGTGGCCAGGCCAAAATCCTCATAATAAGATTCTTAATTAATTTAAACTTGGAAGAAGCATACTTAGAAAACGGATGTTACAATTTTTGGGGTTACCTATTGGGGAAGCATACTCGAAAGTCATTTAGTTCCATATGCTAACATGCTTAGGGTTTTTCACCAAATGGGATATGATCCAGTTTTATTGATTTTATCAAGGTTCATGAAGTCTTGTTTATCGGTTGTCTGGAATGATATGTTTACCATATTTTTTAAATGTTTTTATGAACGATTGTTTGGATCAGATAATGTAAGCAAACTATTTTACATGTTGATGTATGCACTCTATACTGATGAGAAGATCGACTTAGGTCAGGTGCTTGGGGTTCAATTCATTCAAAGTCTAACATCTACTATGAAAAACTTAGAAATTTTGGGTGCTCGCTTTTGGTCTATAGTGGTCAAACATGCTTGTAACATTATTAAATTCCATAGATAAATTCCAAAGATGACATATGTGCAAATGGTGGTTATTCCAACAATGAATGTTTGGACGTTCGTGACTACTGATGATATAAATTTTCAGCATATTGGTTCTATTCTGGAGGTTATGCTTGCAAAGGTTCCTTCCAACAACGAAATTATCAAGCTGTAAAAGCTCATTCCCAAATTTGGTGAACGAATTATTCCTGGTTCTTTATAGTCTGTTCTTGATGTTGGGATGTTATGCCAAGGGTTGTTGGAAAAAGTAAAGAGGAAGTCGTTGAAGAGGCTATCAATATGAAGCCTAAGCCTCAAAGTAAGCTGAACAAGAAATCTAAGATTTTTGTTATTGATGATTATATGTAGAAGAATACAATCAGTGATGTTCGCATATAAGACGATGCTCACAATGATGATGATACTGCAAGGTCATCAGAACAACCAAAGACGACTGAGCAACCTGTTACATCTACGATGCCCATTACAAATACGAATCTTGATACTTTGTAGATTCCTAAGGTATCATATATTCCTATCACAACTACTACTCATCTTACACCTCCAACTGAAACAAAGATTTCCAAAATGGTCTTAACCAACCAATCCATCAACATTTCACAATTTTAATCACTTGTTGTTCCACCAATTCATACACATCAAACCACTTTAACAATCTCAACCAATCAAATCTTTAAAGTACCTACTACTCACCAACCACTTCTCAACAAACAATCTCAACCGTTCCTCCAACAACTCCAGTTAATCCTATTCATACTTTTGGTACGTTATCAACTAATATAGTGCAAAATAATGATAGTCAATCTCGTGACAATGATTATGATTTTTCTTAAATGAAGAAGGGGAAGTAAATCATTCTTTTAAAGGTTTGTTGAACCTATTATGGCATCTAGCCTCATTGATGATGAAAGCGATTTGGATGAGGAATCTACGAATAATCCAATGACGAGAACAGATTATAAAGCTCTTATCCGCAAGATGAATATGTTGGTTTATCAGACAGAACTCTTCTCAAACTCTAAATTACAACACATGATGACAATAAATGAATCTACTGTAAAGACTTTACTTTTTGAAAGTAAACGATTGAGTGAAGAGAATGAAAAGATTATGCATGATACTACTACTAAGGTAGATGCTGTTTTGAACGAGGTCAAGGAGCTTAAAACCTCAGTGCTTTCTGATAGCACAACTCACAATCAGAATTTGATCGATGGTGTTAATAATTTTGTTTTACATTATGGTACTGAAGCCAAAATGGTTGATATCATTACGCGAAAAGATACTAAGATTACTTCGCTCAAGGAAGATTTGGTGGCTGTAAGGAATGAACTGGTCAAGAAAGAAGATGAACTGCTTCTTAGAAAGGGCAATAATTTTGAAATTTAATCAAAGGCTTGTGAAGATAGCGGAACAGAAGGATGCTCCTTATGTTGATTATATTTCAAAGATTTTGGATGAGAACCTTAAACGTCTATTTGACAAACTCTTACCTTCTAATAATGGTGTTATGAATAGCGAGGCTTATTCGCAACAAGGGAGGATGGAGGAGAAGTTTGAATTAATAATATCTATCAAGTACCTGATATGTAGAAAAAGCATGACACTACGAGAAAGATCATTCTTGGTAATCATCCATTAAAAACAAAATCAGAAGGACTTACTACTATGATTCCAACTATTCCAACTATTACTTCTGGATCTGGTACTATAACAATTGTCACTCAACCAGAAGTTGATCCTAATGATGAAGAATATCAGAAGAACCGAGATGAAGAGCTTGAAAGAATGAAACAAACTCAGATTGAATTGGATTAACAAGAGGCATAGAAACATGAAAATGCAGCGGATGAGGCAATGTTGAAGGTATTGTGGCCTTAGTGGATTGTGAGTAGAATTATGAATGAAGCCATCAAGAATGTAGACAATACTGTCTTAATCCAATGTCTTTTTTTGTTGTGCATGACAAGACTGATTGTCAATTGGATTTACCAAGGACTGGGAAGGATTTTGTGTTTAGAAGTTTCCCAAACACTATTGGTGTTCCTTTAACCAATAGTAACTTGACAAGAAGCTTTTCAAGTTGTATGCTTCACAGTCAAGGCCATAATACAAAGTATGGAGCTTAAAGAAAATTCTAGCTATCAAAGAATGTAAAGTTGTTGAAGTAAATGAATTTGTGAATTACAAATTAAAAGCATTGAGAGGTAGAAATAATGAAAATTTTCTATACTCCTTGGGTGATTTTCCCTTGATGAATCCATATGATTGGATTATTTTGTTCAATATCTTTTCCAAAGAAAAGACCAAGTATGCAACTCAACTTCAGCATGTGAAAAGGATAATAATATTTTACTTTTAGGAGCTGTGTAAAATGGTTGTTGAAGTAGCCAGTTACTTTTAGAAGAATACAAGTGTTGGGCCTAGTAAGCAGCCAAAAAGTCTTGAACATATGCTATACAGTTATATTCAGAAAGAGCCTTGTGGAATAGTTTATAAAGTTCATGAGAACAGAGAACTGAAGAACAACATGATGTTTCTACAAGATAAACATTGCTACAGAAATGAAGTTCTTAGTGGTATGCTTTTCAAAGCTTAAATGTGCAAGATGAACTCCAAGAACGATATCAAATGTGTTTCAGACATGTTGCGATGGTGGATGACAGTTCGTATTGTTGTTCTTGGTATTGCTCCTCAATTTTTTCAAGAAGTCAAGTGAAGACTACTTTCGCGACTCAACACAAAAAGGGAGATTGTTAGGTCTCGAATTTCATAGGTGTTATGTTTGAGTATGTTCGCGAAAGATTTTGCAGTGATGTATTTTATAGTCTTCAGCCTGTAAATGCGAAAGCAATTTTTGTTTCGTAGTTTGTTACTAGGCTTCACAGTGTTCTTTACTTAGTTGTATTGACGGCCGATCTTAGCTTAGGTGTCATGACATGATTGGTCATTTCATAACCGACTCCCTTGTAGTGTCCTATTTATAAAAGATGTTAGTTAGAAAGACATAGTATCTTTTGAGAGGCCTCATTTTGTAATCGAGTTTCTTACTCTCCAATCAAAAACCATATCATATTAACTTATTTGTATTCATTCAATTTCTTGTATTCAAACATTATTTCTATCTTCTAAAATCTGATCGATCATACAAATTGTATCAGAGCCAAGGCACGAGACGATGTGTTTGATAGGGACACTGAACCCTATAATTAGGGGTAAAGGTGGGTGGCTAACTTCACATGATCCGACAATAGCTGGAAATGAGAACTAAACATTAGTTATGAGGGGTGTGGATACATTCTCTGTCTCAGCTCGCTTTAAAGCCATGAGGACAAAAAATCTCATAAGAACTCTGCAGTTAAGCGTGCCCGGACGAGAGCAATTCTAAGATAGGTGACACCTGAGAAGTTTTTGTGTCGGCATCCCTAAGCGGACAATATTATGATATATGTCAAAGGAGATATTATTATAATATGAACAATTTCAAAATATTTATTAGTCAAATACGAAAAACATTCAAGCTAAACATAAACAAAATTAAAAGTTAGATTACCATAATAAATCGTTATCTTTTTATTTTTTATATTGAGGACAAAGTAAGCATGGTGGTTGGCCATTATCATAAAGTATTTTATTTTGCTTTTATTAAAAATTAAAAAGGTATTAATTAGAATGCCTATCTATCTTTTTAACTATGATATTAATATAAATTACTGAGACAACTAGAATATGCTTATAAAACTCAAGTAAAGTGAACACACCATCACCATGGCAGGCATGCACACTAATTAATATTCATCACAAAAAATGAGTTCAACATCTTTTTGCATGAGTTCATGAGCATACATTTGATATTCTGAAATGACTAATATTTTATATGTAACAGCTTAAATTAATTAATTAAATAAAAAATCAACCAAAAAGGAGAAAAAGTCCATCAAGTTTAAAGTGATCCAAAATATATCGGTAGAGGCAAAGACGCAAATTTCCCAAATTCTTTTATTTGAAAAAACTTTAGGCTCTTTTTTCGACATTGAAAGTTGAAACCATATCAGTGGCGGATCCAGAAAGAAAAATTAGGAGTTGTACAAATTTTTTAGGGGTTGCACTCCTAGAAAAAAAACTCGTTTCCGAAAAAAAGTTTCTGTCACAAAATCATCACTAAACCGACGAATTTACACTAAATTCACAAATATAAGACTTTGTGATAGATTGACGACAGATTAGTGACTGATTTGTGACAGATTTCCATCGGATTTTTGACGGATTTAAAAAAAATCACTAAATTTACATTTAACGGAAAAAATTTGAGGGGTAGCCCGGGCTACCCCGGTATACATAGTGGCTCCGCCCATGAACCATATTCAAAAATATTTGGACAAATTTAGGAAATAGAAGGAAAACAATGACAACAACTTTGTAAAATATTAAGGCGTTAGAAAAACTTACTTTATAATCAATGTTTTAAAAATTGGTTTGAACCAGTCGGTCGAACCGGTTGGACCAGAAACCGAAGAAATGAGCGGTTCAACTATCATTGGTTTTAGGTTGATTTCTGAACCAGATTTAACTAGACGGTTTTTTAAATAAAAAAAAACCCCGGTTGAACCGGTCAAAATAAACCGGTTGAACCGGTTAAACCGAATAAAAAGACATGAATAATAATCATTTGCATAATAAACTTTGGTTATTTTTTTCAAGTCTATTTAGCTTTTTCTAAATAAAACATATGATAAATGATATAAAGTTTTTTAATGTGTTTGTATTCATCTAAAACTATATTTTGTTTCAGTATTATATTTTATTTTCTTTTAGACATATATGGATTGATGTAAAATACTAAAACTTATGGTTATATGTTATTTTAATGTATTTGGATTGATCTATAACTTATTTTTATGTGTATTTTTAATGTTTGAACTTGTAAATGTCAAATTCATGATTTATATATGTATGTATGTGTAGGAAAATAGAAAAAAAAAGATGAAAATTATAGAAACCGGTTGACCCGGCAGTCAAACCGGTTGAACCGAGAACCGATCACCATACCGATTTAACTAAAAAACCGATTTTTAAAACATTGGTTATAATACTTGTACAATTTAGTTGTTCTTTATCAATTAAATTTATTTAGATTTCTAAAATGTGTTCGTACGTAGCTTACCAATTAAGATGATGTTTTTTTACTTGATAGCTTTAATATATTAAAAGAGAAGGGGTATATATATATATATATATATATATATATATATATATATATATATATATATATATATATATATATATATATATATATATAGGTTCATGTGTTTCTTACATTTATTGTGTGCTAGAATGCACCAATAGGAATTTAGTAACTTAAATAATTATTTAATTAAATAAAGATAGATATTAAATAATTTTCATAATTGTATCTATATTAAATGATATCAATAATTATAATTTTTTTTTTATGGAAACTAATTAAATTCGTCATTAATGTCAGCAATAACATTTTTTCAGAATGAATTCGCATCTAGGTTTTCATGTATGGGTTCGTGTTTTTTTTATGATCTACTAACTTAAAATACAACAAAGTTGCATTGAATATGAAGAACGAGAGTGTATTCTACTAAAATACACTCTCCTTCTTCTAGAATAAACTTTCATTCTGCTAGAATACACTCTCGTTCTCCATGTTTCAGACAACTTTGTTGTATTTTGAGTGAGTGGGCAATGAAACAAAATACGAACTCATACATGATAACCTAGATGTGAATTCATTCTGAAAGAAATATTATTGCTGATATTAATGATGAATTTAATTAGTTTCCATAAAAAATGAATTATAATTATGGATATCATTTAATATACATATAATTATAGAAATCATTTAATATCTATTTTTATTTGATTAAATAATAATTTAATTTTTACTAAATTCTTATTGGTGCATTCTAGCACACACAATATATATATATATATATATATATATATATATATATATATATATATATATATATATATATATATATATATATATATATAGGATCAAGTAGGAACTCAAAAAATTGTAGGAACCGCGAAGACTACTTTTGGCCTTAAGATTGAAAAAATAAATAGACAGGATTTGATATTTTTATCGTCAAAATCTCATGAGATGATATGACATTTTCGTAATTAATTGCGAGATTTTGATAATTTACGGGGAATGTTAATTGTTTTGAGGTTATAAGTGACAAAAGCAAAAAGATTAAAAGAAAAAAAAAGGAAAGGAAAATTCGGCCATGTGGCCTCTCCAGGAGTTGACACGTGCCCCCACCTCCCTGCATGACAAGTGTCCAGTTGTTATTGGCTGGTGAGGTTTTTTGTTCCACCCACTTAGTTTTCGGCCATAACTTTTCTTTTCT